GGTTAAACGAATGGGAAAATCTAGCGCTTGATGAAGGTCGGATACATATCCCGCCAAAAGAGGGAGCGTTGCGTGACATCCAAAAAACGGCTGCGAGGGAGACTAGGTAAAACATGAAGTTAATTAATTCATGTTTCATTAATCCTTGCCATTACTACTCCATACTTTATTAGTTCAATGTTTTAGTCCAGTCCATGCTTTAACAATCCAGTCCAGTCCATGTTGTATCATGATGATTCTTTTTGGTAAACTTTGGACTGGTCGCAATTACAGCTCAGACCTGAACCCCCTAAGGGGGCCGGGTTGCAAAATAAACGCCCCCAATTCCTATATTTTACACCAAGGTACCCTAAGCAGATAGGATATCTCCCGTGCCAGGAGATAGTGGGGAGCTCAGCGCAAGGAGATTTTAAACTACTATTCGTTTCGCGTCACTCATTCCACTATCTGGACGCATTCGGCAGGCAAGGAGGGGTACGAACCCAATGATTCACTTTATGATAAAAACAAAAGCCTAATGCTCTAATGCTTGCTAGTGTTTCCAAAACCACTTTTGTTACGAAAAAAGGTGTAATTAACAAACAAAAATGTGTAATTAACGCCCAGCAATTTTACTCTCCACTAACTGAACGCCTTCGGCAAGCAGGGAGGGGTACGAATCCAAGAATTCAATTTAATTGTGACAAAAACCTTCTAATGCTTGCCAGTGATTTCTACAAGACTTTTGTTAAGAAATCTGTAAATGACAATTTGTATTGTACATACATTCAGCAATTTAAAATTATTGAATATGGTGGACCTGGGGTACTTACCATTTATATGCGAAAACCGGAAATTTTAATATATCGAAAGTGGGCTATTGTGTACTTTTTCTTAGCCTGTTCCAGGCTCCAAGATAGTGTTGCACAGCGCTCGTGAATGGCAAAACACGCGGGGACTGGGGAGAGAGCACAATTTCTCAGATCAAGAGCGTCTTATTTTCGCTTTATTTTCGCATAGTTATGTTTTTTGCGACACAGGCACAGACTATAAGTTTTTCTAACTGACGCCCAAGTAGACCAAATACAGTGTCACGAACTTGAACTATATATAGCTCACTGACTATTTTAATAACTTTTTAGCTCTTTCGGTGCACCTTGATAGCCTTTTCGTACGTGTAATGTCACTGAAGTAATTTGGCAGAAAACTCAACTAATTGATATCCGTTTTAATATGCGCCAGGTGAAGCTGACTCATACACCGGCCGAATTTAATGATTTTTCTTGTATTAAAATGTTGTCGGTGCAGTTCAACCTTGATGTATTTCTTCATTAACATTCTTCAGTAATTTGGCATAAACTTTCCCGTCACACAAGCTGTTGATAAGCTTGAGCCATCGCTATCTTCCTAGCAGAACATAATATATTTGTGTTATTAACTTACTTGAGATCAGATGGCTGGAAAGGAAAATAATTTTGGGGTCTGTTATGAGAGGCAAAACGCACGAAAACCTCATAATGACATCTCGTTTAGTTAACGTACATTTGGGCGATCTATACCTCTGAAATTGTCGTGAAACTACTTATTATCTACTATTTATTATATAGATACTGATGAAACACCAGGATTTTTCCTTTTACTAAAAATCATATCTTCATCGAGCGCAGCGAAGAAACTATTTTTATCTTTCACGTGTGAGGATATTGTTGTCGCCATGATTACTAACATTAATTTCGACGTTTTGGACCAGAAAACCATAAGTATTATTGTTTTTATTTCTTCTTTATAACTTTATTTCCGAGTTTCATAACATTTTTTTGACAGGCATTTTGCAATAGGTGACCACTTAAGTTGCACTATTTTGCTCTTTCGAAATGAATAAAAAAAGTTGTGTTTTATGTAGGAATTTCGCTCACTCGTGAGAGATTTTTTCAGCACTCCAAGATAAAATTATATCCCCCCGCGGCCATGTAATATCCTCTATTTCAACATCCTATTGCTATTAATCGTGCGCTGCCAGCTTTGACTGCCTTCCGCAAAGAGACCAGCTTTGAAATATATAATATACATAGTGCGATTGTGGAACTTTTTTTGCAAAATATTATGTGGTCGTGTAAATCCATTTGCTTTTACGTGGGTAAACGTTTTGGTGAAACTGAAACAGAAACCTTCTAATTAGTGCTCGAATTTTCTTTACACCTTATTTTGTGCAAAATGCAAACTAAGATTAAATTTTCAATGCCTACTGCCTACAGTAACCCTCTCCATTTTATGTACCCCAAATACGTGTATCATGCAGAACCGTGCGAAGCTCTTAATTATGAGAAGAACGCAGGGCAAAGTAGATTCTCTTTCCAATATAAGCACTGTTATTTATATTAACGTATGCTAAATGTTCAGAATTCAAGCGTAGAGTTGCTTGCAACGTGGATGCGTTTTCAATATCTTTATTTTCGTCTTTGTTACTTATTCTGAGCTGATAAAAAGATAAGCTCGCCATCTAGATCTACACCGCTGAGAAATTCCGCCGGACAGTATAGTTCTTCGAGTGTTTTGCTGTCGTCTTCAGTAAAATTTCTTAGCGCCATATGCATTTGGCTGCGATGCAACGATATGCAGCTGCCTGTACTGTTTAATGTATCATTTCCTTTTATGTGGGTGGAAGTGTGTCAAATTTGTCTACTGACTGCCATTTCACTGCCCTGTAACTACTCGCAAGTACGCACTTTAAAAATTACTAACATCAGTATTTCCCCACAGCATCTATATTGTGTAAACTAATTATCTAAGCGCATGGTAACTTCATTCTTAGTTCTTCCTGTTTTTCTGAGATATTGCACTGTTAAGCAAAAGCAAAGCAGGTGATGTCTTTGTTTGGTTATAACTTAAAGCTTCAAATAGACAGAAATCAACCTTAATTAGGTTGGATTATGACATGCACGTGTATTGATCTTGTATCAGTTGTTTCCTCGCGCTACTTTTAAGACCGAGGGAGTCTAATCAATCCGCTCAGACATGTTAAATTGCCTGAGCGCAATTTTCGGCTTTATTATAAGCGAATAACTAGATGAACCCACCATAGACAAAATCCCAAACCCAAATGCATTTATACACGTTCTTCTCAAGGTTACAACTTGTCTGTATTCATTATATAGATACTGATGAAACACCAGGATTTTTCCTTTTACTAAAAAATCATATCTTCATCGCGCGCAGTAAAGATGCTTTTTTATCTTTCACGTGTAAGGATATTGGTGTCGCCATGGTTACTAACATTAATTTCGACTTTTTGGAACAGAAAATCATAAGTATTTTTGTCTTTATTTCTTCTTTATAACTTTATATCCGAGTTTCATAAAATTTTTGTAACAGGCATTTTGCCATAGGTGACCACTTTAATTGCACTATTTTGCTGTTTCGAAAATGAATAAAAAAAATGTGTTTTATGTAAAAATTTCATCAGCATCTATAAAATAAACAGAACATTACATGGCCGCTTGAGGATTCGAATTTTAGCTTCTCGTGCTGAAAGTATCTCTTTCAGCACTTGTAGATAAAATTCGTATCCCGGCGCTGCCATGTAATATCCTCTATTTCAACATCATATTGCTATTAATCGTGAGCTGCCAGCTTTGACTGCCTTCCGCAAAGAGACCAGCTGTGAAATATATAATATACATAGCGCGATTGTTGAACTTTTTTGCAAAATATTATGTGGTCGTGTGCATTAATTTGCTTTCATGTGAGTACACCTTTTGGTGAAACTGAAACAGACACCTTCCAATTAGTGCTCGAATTTTCTTTACACCTTATTTTGTGCAAAATGCAAACTAAGATTAAATATTTAATGCCTACTGCATGCAGTAACCCTCGCTATTTTATGCACCCCAAATACGTGTATCATGCAGAACCGTGCGAAGCTCTTAATTATGAGGAGACCACAGGACAAAAAGTAGATGCTCCTGCCAATATAAGCACTGTTATTTATGTAAACGTATGCTAAATGTTCAGAATTCAAGAGTATATTTGCTTGCAACGTGGATGCGTTTTCAATATCTTTATTCTCGTTTTTGTTACTTATTGTGAGCTTCCACCTATAAAGAACTGATGTAGGTTTTGTTCATGTGGTCTACATGTCTCATGAATTTAGCATTGAGCATAGGATAGCTAATCGAAGTTCTTTTCTCGTTGATGTTTTACGAGGTGCCATAATGCCTCCCCAACCCGGTCTCACTTTTTGCGACTTAACTATAATTTCCACGGCTAAGAGAGTAATTATACCTCCTATAGCTTTTAAACCGAACTTTTAAAACGCTGGGCGTCTTTTTGTTTGGAAAAATAGTTGATGAAAAAGAACTCCAGTAAGTATTGTGGGGGCGTGTTTGAGCAAGTCACTCGCTAATCGATGAGGTACCGAGAGTCTACTTCTTACATCTTGATCTTTATTCTTCTTGACTTCTACAGCAACTATACTCTTAACACTCTTATATCGTCTCCTACTTCAATCTTCTTCTCTAGCAATTCAAATAACAACGGTTTTTATAGCCAAAGCTGGACATGTTTGGGTTAGCTGACCGTGGGAATAAAAACAAGTTAAACCCGGTATGGGTAAGGTTTTGGTATTACTGAACCTACGTAGTTGCGATCGTCACAACCTAATGAAAAACTAAAACGCTGGGGAAAAAACCGAAACAGAAACTTTAACGGGACTTAAGAACCAAGGTCAGCACTAACATCACAAACACTACCACCTAAGAACAACTAACAGCTGACAATGGCAAGCGAAGAATATTCCTGACATGGCATGAAGCAAATTGGCGAGCTAAGAAAAATTCAAGTACAAGTAGAAACAAAAGGTCAAAACAGAAAAAGACCTGATTATGTGGACAAAATCAAGACTAACCTCGAAACTTTGAAAATAACGCTCAAAATACTTCACAAAAGTATTAAATGTAGTTACAATAGTTAAACGGCAACTTTTGCATGAATTTTAATAGTATACAGTGGAGAAGCATAGTACACTAACTCGAACAACGGAACATTTGCCTTAAAGTTTCTTTTACAGCTTGCCTCACTTCTCTGATCTTCCAGCAGTACAGCAACGGGTTTAATGACGAGTTTGAGAACAGTATTGTACCCGTTAATTGCCGTGCAAGGTAAACGGATAAAGAAATGCCTCTTTGAGGTGTCAAAGCGTCCACGATGCTAAGCGGCAGATAACAAACAACCAATGTTCCCTGCACCCACAGTGCACTGTACACTGCCTTTCTGTATCGAGCTATGTTCAGTGGAATTGCTTGGCTCGGTTGTCCTTGAGCAACATGGTTCTGAACATGTATTTGATTATGACGCAGAGTATAGGAAATTTTTGTGTAAGCGAAGATTGAGGTGACTAGACACAGAGCTGTAATTATGTATTGACACCAAAGGAGTATATGAGGATTCCAAAATGTAGAAGATGAACCAACGATGGACAAAATCCAAAAACCAAAAACAATTATACATGTTCTTCTCAAAGTTACAAGTTGTCTGTATCTGAGCCCCAGCAACAAGGCGAGAAGTCTGTCCACACTTATTGCAGTCGAAGTTGTTAAAGACACTCCACACGAAGTATAACCTGAGAAAGCTACTGCCAAATTTGCGTGATAGCAAATATCCCATCTTTCTTTCACAACAGAAGTAAAATAAGTCACAGCCAAAGGCTCTACAATGACACCAACACAGAGATCAGTTATCGCTAGGTTACGATACAAGAGTTTGGACGGCGGATGAAGTGAGGTTTCCTTGTGTAGGGCAACTAGGACCAGAGTGTTCCCCAGAAATGCAGTAATGGACATAAAAATATTTAGAGCTGAAATAAAAATAAGCTCGCCGTCTACACCTCTGATAAATTCCGCCGAGCAGACCAGTTCTTCGTACGTTTTCTGGTTTTCATCTTCAGTGAAGTTTGTCGCTGGTACCATTTTTGTCAGCAATGCATTTAGAGATCCAAGTGATTGCTTTATTTATATTTCGTTTTCAGTTAATTTGGATGGAACTATGACTCGTAGGTCTTTCAAGTCTTTCACTAATAACTTAAAGCCCATCTGCGAGTTTTGTCAGTTGTTCGTTAAAGCTGACGTCAAAGAAATTAATATGGGCTCGTCTTCGTAGGGCCGGCAGACAGAGAAGAAAGCGGATGGGGGTTTAGCACTGAGTTTTGTAGTTTTTCAAACCATATAGTCGAACTGTGCATGTGATGAGCCAGGTAAAACTAACTCGGTGGACGATTCAATGATTTTTCAGGTCTATATGTTGTCGGTGCATTGTAAGCTTTACCTATGAGAGCTTACATTATACTGTAATTCAGTTCGGCAGAAAACCGTCCAATAACACATGCTGTTAAGTTTACAAGCTTGAGGAACCCCTATATGACCTTTTAGTTTCAAGGTTATTGATATATTGTAAGGCGGTAAAATAAGGGCTACAATTCGCTAATATTTTGTCAGAAATTTTGTGTTTACAAGCGAAAGCCACTTATTATTCAGGGTATTGTCTCCAAGTTTCATATTTTCGTGAACAACAATAGCTAACATTTTTGCATATTTCAAGTGTATTGTTAGTCACTGCTGGTAACGTGAAAATAAAACTTGGAGACAATATCCTTGAATAATGAGAGGATTTCACTTGTAAAGACGAAACTTCCGATGAAATAATTAGGGAATAATTGTAGCCCTTATTTTTCACGACCACCTATGAAAAACAAACATCTGACAATGGCAAGCGAAGAATATTGCTAGAATGGCATTAAGCAAATCCGCGAGCTAAGCAAAAATTCAAGTACAAGTAAAAGCAAAATTCAGACAAGAAATACACCCATGTGGACAAAATCAAGACTTACCTCGACCCAAACGAAACTTTGACAATAGCTTTCAAAATACTTCCCCAAATGTAGTTAGTTAAACGGCAATTTTCTCATGAATTTTTAATTAACATTATACAGCGCTGAAAAGCATACTACACTACTGACTCGAACAACAGAATATTTGCCTTAATGTTTCTTTAACCGCTTGCCTCACTTCTCTAATCTTCCAACAGTACAACAAAGGGTTTAATGACGGGTTTAAGAACATTAGTGTAGACGTAAACTGCCATGCAAGGTAAACAGATAAGGAAAAGCCCCTTTGAGTTGTCAAAGCCTACGTGTTCACGATGTTAAGCGGCAGATAACAAACAACCAATGTTCCCTGCACCCACAATGCAGTGTAAATTGCCTTTCCGTATCGAGCTATGTTCAGTGGAATTTCTTGGTTAGGTTGTCGAGGAGCAAAATGGTTCTGAACATGTATTTGATTATGACGCAGAGTACAGAAAATTTTTGTGTAAGCGAAGGCTGTGGTCACTAAACACAAAGCTGTACCTATGTAATTATACGAAAGAAGTATAAGAATATTCCAAACTGTCAAAGTAGATGAAACAACGATGGACAAAAACCAGAAACCAAAAGCGATTATACATGTTCTTCTCAAAGTTACAACTTGTCTGTATCTGAGCCCCAGCAACAAGGCGAGAAGTCTGTCCAAACTTATTGCAGTCGAAGTTAATAAAGACACTGCACACAAAGTAGAAGCCCAGAAACCCATTGCCAAACTTGTGTAATGGAAAATATTCCATCTTTTGTTAACAACAGAAGTCCAATAAGCCACATACAAAGGCTCCACAATGATACCAACACAGAGATCAGTCATCGCTAGGTTACGATACAGGAGTTTGGACGGCGGATAAAGTGAGGTTTCCTTGTGTAGGGCAACTAGGATCAGAGTGTTCCCCAGAAATGCAGAAATGGAAAGAAAAATATTTAGAGCTGAAATGAAAAGAAGCTCGCCATCTACACCTCTGATAAATTCCGCGGAGCACCACAGTTCTATGAATGTTTTCTGGTTTTCATCGTCAGTAAAGTTTGTCTGTGCCATAGTACTTCTCTGAGGTGCAATGAGAGGCGAGTGAAGCTTTATCTATTCATCGCTTAGTTTATTCGGCTGGAAAGTTACATGATTCGCACACTGGTGTTTATCACTAATAACCAAAGGCTCCGTGGTACACGATAACTCTTCGTCAGGTCAGACGGTGCGGGAGGGGGGGGGGTGGGGGGGGGTCGGGGGTTCAGAAAGCTAACCTAGATCAATGATGTAGCCTTTATATGCCAAGCTCAGGTCAAACTAACTCGACTGGACGTTTTAATGACATTTTATGTTACCTGTCCATTGCAAGCTTGACGTTCAGCAATTTACATTGTATTAATTTGATGAGAGAACACAAGCTGCGAAGTTTGCAAGCTTGAGCAATCACGATTTTCTCAGGCAAGCGTTTATGCGTTAATAACCAACTTGACGTCAGATGGCTGTAAAAGGGTATAATCAGTGATAGCAACAACAGTTTTAATTTTCGTTTCTGTAATGGCCGGGAGGCAAAAAGTAAAAAACTTCGTAAGTGCTTAAAACCATACTGGAAAGAAACCTCGGCTAGTAGTAGGGTATATTAACTGCCATTTCACTGCCCTGTAACTACTCGCAAGTACGCGCTTTACAAATTACCAACATCAGTATTTCCCCACAGTATCTATATTGTGTAAACTAATTATCTAAGCGCATGGTAACTTCATTCTTAGTTCTTCCTGTTTTCCTGAGATATTGCACTGTTAACCAAAAGCAAAGCAGGTGATGTCTTTGTTTGGTTTTAACTAAAAGCTTCAAATAGACTGAAATCAACCTTAATTAGGTAGGATTATGACATGCACGTGTATTGATCTGGTATCAGTTGTTCCCTCTACTTTTAAGACCGAGGGAGTCTAATAAATCCGCCCAGACATCTTAAATCTCCTGAGCGCAATTTTCGGCTTTATTAAAAGCGAATAACTAGGTGAACACTCTATAGACAAAATCCAAAACCCAAATGCAGTTATACATGTTCTTTTGAAGGTTACAATTTGTCTGTATCTGAGCCCTAGCAGCAAGGCAAGAAGTCTGTCCACGCTTATCGCAGTCAATGTTAATAAAGACTCTGAACATAAGGTATAACCTAAATGATTTTCTGCCAAATAAGCATAAAAGCAAATATACCATTTTTCTTTCACAACAGAAGTAAAATAAGTCACAGCCAAAGGCTCAGCAATGATACCAGCACAGAGATGAACTATCGCTAGGTTACGATACAGGAGTTTGGACGGCGGATGAAGTGAAGTTTCCTTGTGTAGGGCAACTAGGATCAGGCGTTCCCCAGAAATGCAGTAATGGAAAGAAAAATATTTAGCGCTGAAAGGAAGATAAGCTCGCAATCTACAGCTCTGAAGAATTCCGCCGAACAGGATAGTTCGTCGACCGTTTTGCTGTCATTTTCAGTAAAATTTCTTAGCGCCATTTGGCTGCGATGGAACGATATGCAGGTGCCTACACTGTTTAACATATCGCTTTCTTTTAAAAGGGGGGAAGTGTGTCATTATATCTTTTAAATTGCCTAATTAACTAAGGCTAGGTGCGTGGTTATTTCTCGGGTACAAGTTACTCCTTAATTTGGCGCGAAATTTCGGCGTTTATACTACTACATGAGAAATTTCTTTAATTTGATTGGCTAAGAGCAGTGGTATTTCAGCTTAATTTGAAATACCTACATGTAAAAATTACAAAACCTTTGAGGGTAGTATTACAAACAAATAATAGCATGATTTGTACGTGATATTTTGCATAAATATCACTCAATATACGTATAACAATTTTGAAATATCACTCGTGGTATTTATGCGAAATATCACTACAAATCATGCTATTACCTATACTAATTCATAAATTCAGCTATGGCAGCTTTTGTACTCTGAATGCCCGAGATGGCGTCCAAGTTTAATGATGTCTATGAATGAAGACATCAGGGGAATAAAAGACCATGTTACAAGTCCTAACACGCTAAAGAGCACAACATGTCTAGATGGTAGGGAAACCATTAAAAGTTTGGCCTGGAATTGAACTATTCGTTACCATTTGATTACACAAACTAGTCTTGTTGTTTTTATAATTATCATGAACCTGTTCGACAAAAACAAAAATGCCGAGATATGATTTGTTTTGAAAGGTTGAAGTAAGACATAAAATAGTTTAAGGTCGAGCACAAATTGTTTATTTGTTTTTTAGCCTGTTCCAGGCTCCAAGACAGTGTCGCGCAGAGGTCGTGAGTGGCAAAACACGTGGGGACTGGGGAGAAAGCACATAGGCGTACGGGCAATTTTCGGCCAGGGGGCGGTAAACAATTTGCCCAAAAAATTCTTGCAAGTTGCCCAAATTTTTACAAATCAGACGAAAAGAAACGAGGGCCATACCATGCAACAACATAGGCCGTACTGGCATATGAAAGTGCCTCGATACAGTTTTTCAGGGTCAATACCTGCCAAGTTTGAGCATAGACTACGTCGCCATGAAGAAACATTTGGAAAAATTGCCACCACAGTTGTATTAGATATAGATGAAAAATTGTCATGATCAGGGTTGCAATGACATCGGAGTTGTCATAGCAGCGAAATGACGCCATTACCTATTATAGTTGCTGCATTATTTCTCACTATGAAATCGTTTTCGGAAGCTTTTTCCTCCAATAGTCCCCTCGGTGTTCGTGAAGTTAAAACGGAATCTGTCATAGTGTTATCGGGATATTTTGGGATAAAGTTTTTATCATTTGAAATACAGTAAAAAAAGGAACATCTTGATGTTTAGCCTTTATCTGTAGAGAACGAAGCGTTTTTCACATGCAATTTCGCCTCTTAGTAGCTTCAATCTTTTTAAAAATGTGTGTGAATTATTTTAGAGATAATCCTGGTCAATTGCTGCGAAGAAGGATTTCACTAGTATGTTTCATGGCACTCTTGTTAGCGGTTCTGTAAACATTTCGGTCTACTTTAACAAGTTAGTGAGTAATTCGAACCACTTGATAGATTTTTTAAAAAAAATAAAGATTCTTCTCGTAATTCAAAGTGAGAATTAGTCAGCTACTTCTTCACTTTCAGATCAATCGCTGATGCTATCTGCCATACACTGTTCTACGAGCGAAGATGATTCTAGAAAGTTAGGCGGAAGTTTATTCTAATCAATTCACGATTGGAAATAGCCCATTGCAGTACAGTGCCCAACGATAAAAAAACTCAGCATATGATACCCTTCCCTTATAAACAGAAACTCATCACGTTCTTGGCGAACACTGTCTCGTGTGAATGTAACTGGATTATTACGCGGACTTCAGGTTAAAATAGAAAATATTTATCTCTTCAAAATACTAATAAAAAAAATGACAACGTCTTTAAAAGCTGGCTTTGCCAAAATTTTCTCTTGCTGCCAAAAAAATCTGGGTTGCCCAAAATTTGGGGGGGGCTGCAGCCCTCCTCGTCCCCCGGCCCGGCCCGTACGCCTATGAGAAAGCACACTTTCTCAGATCAAGAGCGTCTTATTTTCGCTTTATTTTCGCATAGTTAAGGTTTTTGCGACGTCTCTACTATTTGAGAGCCTGGCACAGTCTATAAGTTTTTCTAACTGAAACCCAAGCAGACCAAATACAGTGTCACAAGCTTGAAGTATATATAGCTCACTGACTATTTTAATAACTTTTTAGCTCTTTCTTTGCTCCTTGATAGCCTTTTCAAACGTATAATGTCACTGAAAGAAGTAATTTGGCAAAAAACTCAACTGATTGATATCCGTTTTAAGTTTAAAAGATTGAGATACTTTTAAGTGAAAGGCCTAGAAATAAAAATAGAAAATTCAGACAAATTGTGCTTTTAAGAAATACTAGCTTGCTATGATGAGCCAGGTGAAACTTGTTCATACACGGCCGAATTTAATGATTTTTCATGTCTTAAAATGTTGTCGGTGCAGTTCAACCTTGATGTATTTCTTCATTAACAATCTACAGTAATTTGGCATAAACTTTCCAGTAACACAAACTGTTGACAAGCTTGAGCCATCGCTATCTTCCTAGCAGAACGTAATATATTTGTGTTATTAAGTTACTTGAGGTCACATGGCTGGAAAGGAATTTAATTTTTGGGTCTGTTATGAGAGCTGAGGCAAAACGCGCGAAAACGTCATATTGAGATCTCGTTTTGTTAACGTACATTTGGGCGATCTATACCACTGAAATTGTCGTGAAACTATTTAGTATCTGCTGTTCATTATATAGATACTGATGAAATACCAGGATTTCTCCTGTTACTAAAAAATCATATCTTCATCGCGCGCAGTGAAGACACTATTTTTATCTTTCACGTGTGAGGATATTGGTGTCGCCATGGTTACTAACATTAATTTTGACTTTTTGGAACAGAAAATCATAAGTATTATTGTTTTTATTTCTTCTTTATAACTTTATATCCAAGTTTCATAAAATTTTTGTAACAGGCATTTTGCGATAGTTGACCACTTTAATTGCACGATTTTGCTGTTTCGAAAAGTTGCGTTTTATGTAGGAATTTCATCAGCATCTATAAAATAAACAAAACATTACATGGCCGCTTGGGGATACGAATTTTATCTTCTCATGCTGAAAGTGTCTCTTTCAGCACTCATATTATGTGGTCGTGTGGATTAATTTGCTTTCACGTGGGTAAACGTTTTGGTGAAACTGAAACAGACATCTTCTAATTAGTGGTCGAATCTTCTCTACCCTTATTTTGTGCAAAATGCAAACTAAGATTAAATATTCAATGCCTACTGCCTGCAGTAACCCTCGCCATTTTATGTACCCCAAATACGTGTATCATGAAGAACCGTGCGAAGCTCTTAATTATGAGGAGACCACAGGACAAAAAGTAGATGCTCTTACCAGTATAAGCACTGTTATTTATGTTAACCTATGCTAAATGGTCGGAATTCAAGTGTATATTTGCTTGCAACGTGGATGCGTTTTCAATATATTTATTTTCGTCTTTGTTACTTATTCTGAGCTTCCACCTATAAAGAACTGATGTAGGTTTTGTTCAAGTGGTCTACATGTCACGTGAATTTAGTATTGAGCATAGGATAGCTAATCGAAGCTCTTTTCTCGTTGCTGTTTTACGAGGTACCATAATGTCTCTCCAACCCGGTTTCACGTTTTGCGACTTAACAATGATTTCCACGGCTAAGAGAGTAATTATACCTCCTATAGCTTTTAAACCGAACTTTTAAAAGACTGGACGTCTTGTTTTTTTTCAGAAAAGCGGTTTATGGAAAATAACACCAGTAAACATTGTGGGGTTGAACCATGCGACCAACTCGCTCGCTAATCGATGAAGCTCGATGAAGTACCTAGAGTCTACTTCTTACATCTTGATCTTTATTCTTCTTGACTTCTATAGCAACTTAAAAATACTCTTAACACCCTTATATCGTCTCCTACTTCAATCTTCTTCTCTAGCAATTCAAATGACAACGGTTTTTATAGCCAAAGCTGGACATGTTTGTGTTAGCTGACCGTGGGAATAAAAACAAGTTAAACTCGGTATGGGTAAGGTTTTGGTATTATTGAATCTACATGGTTGCGATCGTCACAACTAAAACGCTGGTGAACTGAAGCCCAAACAGAAACTTTAACGGGACTTAACAACCAAGGACAGCACTAACATCACAAACACGACCACCTAAGAACAACTAACACTTGAAAATGGCAAGCGAAGAATATTCCTAACAATTGGTATTAAGCAAATTGGCGAGCTAAGAAAAAATTCAAGTACAAGTAGAAACAAAAGGTCATAACAGAAAAAGACCTAATTATGTGGACAAAATCAAGACTAACCTTGACCCAATCGAAACTTTGAAAATAACGTTCAAAATACTTCACAAAAGTACTAAATGTAGTTACAACAGTTTACTTATAAATAATACAGCGGAAAAGCATAGTACACTAACTTGAAGAACCGAATATTTGCCTTAATGTTTCTTTTACAGCTTGCCTCACTTCTCTGATCTTCCAGCAGTACAATAACGGGTTTAATGATGAGTTCAAGTGCACTAAGGTGGCCGTAAATTGGTGAGCACGATAAATGGATAAAGTCATCCCTCTCTGAAGTTGCAAAGCTACTGCTATAAAATGCGGTAGATAACAAATAAACAATGTTCCCTGCACCCACAGTGCACTGTACACTGCCTTTCTGTATCGAGCTATGTTCAGTGCGGGAATTGCTTGGCTCGGTTGTCCTTGAGCAACATGGTTGTGAACATGTATTTGATTATGACGCAGAGTATAGGAAACTTTTGTGTAATCGAAGATTGTGGTGACTAGACACAGAGCTGTAATTATGTATTGACTAAGAAGTATACGAGGATTCCAAAATATAGTAGATGAACCAACGATGGACAAAATCCAAAAACCAAAAACAATTATACATGTTCTTCTCAAAATTACAAGTTGTCTGTATCTGAGCCCCAGCAACAAGGCGAGAAGTCTGTCCACACTTATTGCAGTCGAAGTTGTTAAAGACACTCCACACAAAGTATAACCTGAGAAAACTCCTGCCAAATGTGCGTAATAGCATATATCCCATCTTTCTTTCACAACAGAAGTAAAATAAGTCACAGCCAAAGGCTCTACAATGATACCAACCCAGAGATCAGTTATCGCTAGGTTACGATACAGGAGTTTGGACGGCGGATGAAGTGAAGTTTCCTTGTGTAGGGCAACTAGGATCAGAGTGTTCCCCAGAAATGCAGTGATGGAAAGAATAATATTTAACGCTGATAAAAAGATAAGCTCGCCATCTACACCTCTGAAGAATTCCGCCGGACAGGATAGTTCTTCGAGTGTTTTGCTGTCGTCTTCAGTAAAATTTTTTAGCGCCATTTGGCTGCGATGCAACGATATGCAGTTGCCTGTACTGTTTAACGTATCATTTCCTCTTATATGGGTGGAGGTGTGTCATTCTATCTTTTAAATTAACTAATTAATTAACCAAGCGCGTGGTAATTTCTCAGCGAACAAGTTACTCTTTAATTTGGCGCAAAATTTCAGCGTTTATTCATTTCAGCTATGGCAGCGTTTTGTGTATCTAAGTGCCCGAGATGGCGTCCAAGTTAAGGGATGTCAAGGTGAGATGTCGTGAATGAAGATATCAGCGAAATAAGAGACGCACTCTCAAGTTTAAACACACGAAAGAGCACAGTGTTTAGATGGCATAAAAACTATTAGAATTTTGACATGGAATTGAATTTAAAATTATTCAGTCGTGATTTGATTACACTGACTAGTCTTCTTTTTTTATAATTATCATGTTCAACAAAAAGAAAAGAGCAATGTTATATTTGTTCTTCTTTTATGATTCACACCTTTTCTTTTCTTTTTTTATTCAACAACCTTTATTTAACGTACAACCCTCTTGAATATTCAACAAACTGAAAGTCCGGGGAGGGCTTGATAACACAGCAGGGAAGAGCAGGGATGGTGAATTTAATTCATAACTATTAATTAGGAATTTATCTGTATAAATCCCTCAATTTATAGAAACAAACCCAAAACGAAAAAAAATAATGGAAATTAATTCTCATAAAAGTTGTCGTTGCAATTAATTGCAATTCAACTTTGCTGTTTCTGACCACATAAAATTCCTCCTCTAGACAAATTTAAGGTAGATCGATACAGTTTTTCATGGTCAATACCTCCCAAGTTTGGGCATCGTCATACATCGCCATACATCGCCATAAACAGAGATTTGGAATAATTGCCACCACAATTGAATTAGATAAAGATGAAAATTGTTATGATCAGGGTTGCAATGACATCGGAGTTGTCATAGCAACGAAATGACGCCATTACCTACTTGCAGCAGTATTTCTCGGCACTGGGAACTGTTCTTCCAAAATCGTTCACAAAAACAAACGCTTTTTCCCAAAAATAGCTGCCTCAATGTTCGTGAAGTTTATTAGTGGCATCTGTAAGAGCGTTATCGAGATATTTCGGGATGAAGTTTTTATGGTTAAAAAAAAAAACGGTCAAAAATGGACAATCTTGATGTTCAGCTGTTTCTTTAGAAAACGAAGCGTTTTGACATGCAATTTCACCTCATAGTAGCTTTAATCTTTTTAAAAACGTGTGTGAGAGATTATGGAGATAGCCGATAGCCAGCCGATTGCTAGAAAGAAGGATTTGATTGGCATGTATCGAGGCGCTCTTGTTTGCGGTTTTGCAAACATTTCGGTCTGCTTTAGCAAATAAGCCAATAATTTTTGAACCACTCGATAGATTTTTTAAAAAAATTTAAGAGTCTTGAGATTAACCTTCCTCTTATATGACCTTTTAGTTTCAAGGTTATTGATATATTGTAAGGCAGTAAAATAAGGGCTACAATTCGCTAATATTTTGTCAGAAATTTTGTGTTTACAAGTGAAAGCCTCTTATTGTTCAGGGTATTGTCTCCAAGTTTCATATTTTCGTGAGCAACAATAGCTAGCATTTTTGCATATTTCAAAATATGTATTGTTAGTCACTGCTGTTAACGTGAAAATAAAACTTGGAGACAATATCCTTGAATAATGAGAGGATTTCACTTGTAAATACGAAACTTCCGATAAAATAATTAGGGAATAATTGTAGCCCTTATTTTCCACGACCACCTATGAAAAACAAACATCTGACAATGGCAAGTGAAGAATATTGCTAAAATGGCATTAAGCAAATCCGCGAGCTAAGCAAAAATTCAAGTACAAGTAAAAGCAAAATTCAAACAAGAAATACACTTATGTGGACAAAATCAAGACTTACCTCGACCCAAACGAAACTTTGAAAATAGCTTTCAAAATACTTCTCCAAATGTAGTTAGTTAAAAGGCAATTTTCGCATGAATTTTTAATTAACAGTATACAGCGCAGAAAAGCATACTACACTACTGACTCGAACAACAGAATATTTGCCTTAATGTTTCTTTAACCGCTTGCCTCACTTCTCTGATCTTCCAACAGTACAACAAAGGGTTTAATGACGAGTTTAAGAACACTAGTGTAGAGGTAAAATGCCATGCAAGGTAAACAGATAGGGAAAAGCCCCTTTGACTTGTCAAAGCGTACGTGTTCACGATGTTAAGCGGCAGATAACAAACAACCAATGTTCCCTGCACCCACAGTGCACTGTACACTGCCTTTCTGTATCGAGTTATGTTCAGTGGAATTTCTTGGTTAGGTTGTCGAGGAGCAAAATGATTCTGAACATGTATTTGATTATGACGCAGAGTACAGAAAATGTTTGTGTAAGCGAAGGCTGTGGTGACTAAACACAAAGCTGTACCTATGCAATTATACGAAAGAAGTATAAGAATATTCCAAACTGACAAAGTAGATGAAACAACGATGGACAAAAACCAGAAACCAAAAGCGATTATACATGTTCTTCTCAAAGTTACAACTTGTCTGTATCTGAGCCCCAGCAACAAGGCGAGAAGTCTGTCCACACTTATTGCAGTCGAAGTTAAGAAAGACACTGCACACAAAGTAGAAGCCCAGAAACCCATTGCGAAACTTGTGTAATGGCAAATATTCCATCTTTTGTTGACAACAGAAGTCCAATAAGCCACATACAAAGGCTCCACAATGATACCAACACAGAGATCAGTTATCGCTAGGTTACGATACAGGAGTTTGGACGGCGGATAAAGTGAGGTTTCCTTGTACAGGGCAACTAGGATCAGAGTGTTCCCCAAAAATGCAGAAATGGAAAGAAAAATATTTAGAGCTGAAATGAAAAGAAGCTCGCTATCTACACCTATGATAAATTCCGCGGAGCACCACAGTTCTATGAATGTTTTCTGGTTTTCATCGTCAGTAAAGTTTGTCTGTGCCATAGTACTTCTCTGAGGTGCGATGAGAGGCAAGTGAAGGCTTTATTTATTCATCGCTTAATTTATTCGGGTGGATCGCGGGTTCAGAAAGCTAACCTGGATCAATGATGTAGCCTTTATATGCCAGGCTCAGGTCAAACTAACTCGACTCGACGTTTTAATGACATTTTATGTTACCTGTTTCCATTACAAGCTTGACGTTCAGCAATTTACATTTTATTAATTTGATAAGAGAACACAAGCTGCGAAGTTTGCAAGCTTGAGCAATCACGATTTTCTCAGGCAAGCGTTTATGCGTTAATAACCAACTTGACGTCAGATGGCTGTAAAAGGGTATAATCAGTGATAGCAACAACAGTTTTAATTTTCGTTTCTGTAATGGCCGGGAGGCAAAAAGTAAAAAACTTCGTAAGTGCTTAAAACCATACTGGAAAGAAACCTAGGCTAGTAGTAGGGTATATTAACTGCCATTTCACTGCCCTGTAACTACTCGCAAGTACGCGCTTTACAAATTACTAACATCAGTATTTCCCCACAGTATCTATATTGTGTAAACTAATTATCTAAGCGCATGGTAACTTCATTCTTAGTTCTTCCTGTTTTCCTGAGATATTGCACTGTTAACCAAAAGCAAAGCAGGTGATGTCTTTGTTTGGTTATAACTTAAAGCTTCAAATAGACAGAAATCAACCGTAATTAGGTTGGATTATGACATGCACGTGTATTGATCTTGTATCAGTTGTTTCCTCGCGCTACTTTTAAGACCGAGGGAGTCTAATCAATCCGTCCAGACATCTTAAATTTCCTGAGCGCAATTTTCGGCTTTATTACAAGCGAATAACTAGGTGAACACTCTACAGACAAAATCCAAAACCCAAATGCAGTTATACATGTTCTTTTGAAGGTTACAATTTGTCTGTATCTGAGCCCTAGCAACAAGGCGAGAAGTCTGTCCACGCTTATTGCAGTCAATGTTAATACAGACACTAAACATAAGGTATAACCTAAAAGATTTTCTGCCAAATAAGCATAATAGCAAATATCCCTTCTTTCTTTCACAACAGAAGTCCAATAAGTCACAGCCGCTGGCTCCACAATGATACCAACACAGAGATCAGTTATCGCCAGGTTACGATACAAGAGTTTGGACGGCGCATGAAGAGACGTTTCCTTGTGTAGGGCAACTATAGGCTCAGAGTTTTCCCCAGAAATTCACTAAAGGAAAGAAAAATATTTAGCGCTGAAGGGAAAACAGCTCGCAATCTACACCTCTGAAGAATTCCGCCGAACAGGATAGTTCTTCGACTGTTTTGCTGTAATTCTCAGTAAAATTTTTTAGCGCCATTTGGCTGCGATGCAACGATATGCAGGTGCCAACATATCGCTTTCTTTTATACGGGTGGGAGTGTGTCATTGTATCTTTTAAATTACCTAATTAACTAAGGCTAGGTGCATGGTTATATCTCGGGTACAGGTTACTCCTTAATTTGGCGCGAAATTTCGGGGTTTATACTACTTCGTGTGAAATTTCTTTTATTTGATTGGCTAAGAGCAGTGGTATTTCAGCTTAATTTGAAATACCTACCCGTAAAAATTACAAAACCTTTGCGGGTAGTATTACAAACAAATAATAGCATGATTTGTACGTGATATTTTGCATAAATATCACTAACGGCTCGTGAAATTACGAATAACAATTTTGAAATATCACTCGTGGTATTTATGCCAAATATCACTACAAATCATGCTATTACCTATACTAATTCATAAGTTCAGCTATGGCAGCTTTTGTACTCTGAATGCCCGAGATGGCGTCCAAGTTTAATGATGTCTAGGTGAGATGTCATGAATGAAGACATCAGGGGAATAAAAGGCCATGTTACAAGTCCTAACACACTAAAGAGCACAACATGTCTAGATGGTAGCGAAACCATTAAAATTTTGACCTGGAATTGAATTATTCGTTACCATTTGATTACACAAACTAGTCTTCTTGTTTATATAATTATCATGAACCTGTTCAACAAAAACAAAAATGCCGAGATGTATTTGTTTTGAAAAGCTGAAGAAAGACATAAAATAGTTTAAGGTCGAGCACAAATTGTTTATTTTTTTTAAGCCTCTTCCAGGCTCCAAGATAGTGTTGCACAGCCGTCGTGAATAGCAAAACACGCGGGGACTGGGGAGAAAGCACACTTTCTCAGATCAAGAGCGTCTTATTTTCGCTTTATTTTCGCATAGTTATGGTTTTTGCGACGTCTCTACTATTTGAGAGCCTGGCACAGACTATAAATTTTCCTAACTGACGCCCAAGTAGACCAAATACAGTGTCGCGAGCTTGAACTATATATAGCTCACTGACTATTTTTATACTGAACTTTTTAGGTCTTTCGTTGCTCCTTGATAGCCTTTTCGTACGTATAATGTCACTGACAGAAGTAATCTGGCAGAAAACTCAACTAATTGATATCCGTTTTAAGTTTAAAAGATTGAGATACTTTTAAGAGAAAAGAAAAAGAGAAAATTCAGACAAATTATGCTTTTAAGAAATACTAGCTTGCTATGATGAGCCAGGTGAAACTTGTTCATACACGGCCGAGTTTAATGATTTTTCACATCTAAAAATGTTGTCGGTGCAGTTCAATCTTGATGTATTTCTTCATTAACTGAACATTCTGCAGTAATTTGGCATAAACTTTCCCGTAACACAAGCTGTTGACAAGCTTGAGCCATCGATATCTTCCTAGCAGAACGTAATATATAGTTGTGTTATTAACTTACTTGAGGTCAGATGGCTGGAAAGGAATTTAATTTTTTGGTTTGTTATGGGAGACAAAACGCGCGAAAACCTCATAATGACATCTCGTTTAGTTAACGTACATTTGGGCGATCTATACCTCTTAAATTGTTGTGAAACTATTTAGTATCCGCTATTTGTTATATAGATACTGATGAAATACCAGGATTTTTCCTTTTACTAAAAAATCGTATCTTCATTGCGCGCAGCAAAGATGCTATTTTTATCTTTCACGTGTAAGGATATTGGTGTCGCCATGGTTACTAACATTAATTTCGACTTTTTGGAACAGAAAATCATAAGTATTATTGTCTTTATTTCTTCTTTATAACTTTATATCCGAGTTTCATAAAATTTTTGTAACAGGCATTTTGCGATAGGTGACCACTATAATTGCACTATTTTGCTGTTTCGAAAATGAATAAAAAACTTGTGTTTTATGTAAAAATTTCATCAGTATCTTTAAAATAAACAGAAAATTACATGGCCGCTTGGGGATTCGAATTTTACCTTCTCGTGCTGAAAGTATCTCTTTCAGCACTCGTAGATAAATTTCGTATCCCGGCGCTGCCATGTAATATTCTCTATTTCAACATCATATTGCTATTAATCGTGCGCTGCCAGCTTTGACTGCCTTCCGCAAAGAGACCAGCTGTAAAATATATAATATAGATAGTGCGATTGTTGAACTTTTTTGCAAAATATTATGTGGTCGTGTGCATTAATTTGCTTTCATGTGAGTAAGCGTCTTGGTGAAACTGAAACAGACACCTACTAATTAGTGCTCGAATTTTCTTTACACCTTATTTTGTGCAAAATGCAAACTAAGATTAAATATTCAATGCCTACTGCCTGAAGTAACCCTCGCTATTTTATGCACCCCAAATACGTGTATCATGCAGAACCGTGCGAAGTTCTTAATTATGAGGACACCACAGGACAAAAAGTAGATGCTCCTGCCAATATAAGCACTGTTATTTATGTAAACGCATTCTAAATGTTCAGAATTCATGTGTATATTTCCTTGCAACGTGGATGCGTTTTCAATATCTTTATTTTCGTTTTTGTTACTTATTCTGAGCTTCCACCTATAAAGAACTGATGTAGGTTTTGTTCATGTGGTCTACTTGTCTCTTGAATTTAGCATTGAGCATAGGATAGCTAATCGAAGCTCTTTTCTCGTTGATGTTTTACGAGGTACCATAATGCCTCCCCAACCCGGTCTCACTTTTTGCGACTTAACTATGATTTCCACGGCTAAGAGAGTAATTATACCTCCTATAGCTTTTAAACCGAACTTTTAAAACGCTGGGCGTCTTTTTGTTCGGAAAAATAGTTGATGAAAAAGAACTCCAGTAAGTATTGTGGGGGCGTGTTTGAGCAACTCACTCGCTAATCGATGAGGTACCGAGAGTCTACTTCTTACATCGTGGTCTTTATTCTTCTTGACTTCTACAGCAACTATACTCTTAACACTCTTATATCGTCTCCTACTTCAATCTTCTTCTCTAGCAATTCAAATAACAACAGTTTTTATAGCCAAAGCTGGACATGTTTGTGTTAGCTGACCGTGGGAATAAAAACAAGTTAAACTCGTTATAGGCAGGGTTTTGGTATTACTGAACCTACATGGTTGCGATCGTCACAACCTAATGAAAAACTAAAACGCTGGTGAAAAAACCGAAACAGAAACTTTAACGGGACTTAAGAACCAAGGTCAGCGCTAACATCTCAAACACAACCACCTAAGAACAACTAACACTTGAAAATGGCAAGCGAAGAATATTCCTAACATGGCATGAAGCAAATTGGCGAGCTAAGAAAAAATTCAAGTAGAAGTAGGAAAAAAAGGTCAAAACAGAAAAAGACCTAATTATGTGGACAAAATCAAGACTAACCTTGACCCAATCGAAACTTTGAAAATAACGTTCAAAATACTTCACAAAAGTATTAAATGTAGTTACAATAGTTAAACGGCAATTTTCGCATGAATTTTAATAGTATACAGCGGAAAAGCATAGTACACTAACTCGAACAACGGAACATTTGCCTTAATGTTTCTTTTACAGCTTGCCTCACGTCTCTGATCTTCCAGCAGTACAACAACGGGTTTAATGATGAGTTTAAATACCCTAAGGTAGCCGTAAATTGCCGTGCAAGGTAAACGAATAAAGACATCCCTCTCTGAGGTGTCAAACGCACTGCTATATTATATGGAAGATAACAAATAACCAATGTTCCCTGCACCCACAGTGCACTGTACACTGCCTTTCTGTATCGAGCTATGTTCAGTGCGGGAATTGCTTGGCTCGGTTGTCCTTGAGCAACATGGTTCTGAACATGTATTTGATTATGACGCAGAGTATAGGAAATTTTTGTGTAAGCGAAGATTGTGGTGACTAGACACAAAGCACCTATGTATTGATACCAAAGAAGTATATGAGGATTCCAAAATATAGAAGATGAACCAACGATGGAAAAAATCCAAAAACCAAAAACAATTATACATGTTCTTCTCAAAGTTACAACTTGTCTGTATCTGAGCCCCAGCAACAAGGCGAGAAGTCTGTCCACACTTATTGCAGTCGAAGTTGTTAAAGACACTCCACACAAAGTATAACCTGAGAAAAGTGCTGCCAAATTTGCGTAATAGCATATATCCCATCTTTCTTTCACAACAGAAGTAAAATAAGTCACAGCCAAAGGCTCTGTAATGATAGCAACACATAGATCAGTTATCGCTAGGTTACGATACAGGAGTTTGGACGGCGGATGAAGTGAAGTTTCCTTGTGCAGAGCAACTAGGATCAGAGTGTTCCCCAGAAATGCAGTAATGGAAAGAAAAATATTAAGAGCTGAAAGAAAAATAAGCTCGCCGTCTACACTTCTGATAAATTCCGCCGAGCAGACCAGTTCTTCGTACGTTTTCTGGTTTTCATCTTCAGTGACGTTTGTCCCTGGTACCATTTTTGTCAGCAATGCATTTAGAGATCCAAGTGATTGCTTTGTTTATATTTCGCTTTCAGTTAATTTGGGTGGAAACTGATATGACTCGTGGGTCTTTCAAGTCTTTCACTAATAACTTAAAGCCCATCTGCGAGTTTTGTCAGTTGTTCGTTAAAGCTGACGTCAAAGAAAACAATATGGGCTCGTCTTCGTCGGGCCGGCAGACAGAGAGGAAAGCGGATAGGGGTTTAGCACTGAGTTTTGTAGTTTTTCAACATATGATGATGAGCCAGGTAAAACTAACTCGACGGACGATTCAATGATTTTTCAGGTGTTGTCGGTGCATTGTAAGCTTTACCTATGAGAGCTTATATTATACCCTAATTCAATTTGACAGAAAATTTCAATAACACATGCTGTTAAGTTTACAAGCTTGAGCCATCACCGTTTATACATGTATAAGCATAATTGACCAAGCTTGAGGTCAGCCTCAATGTCTGGAAAAAATGTAAATATGTTCGCAGCAAGGTCGGTTTTATAACTTTTGGGTTTGTTATAAGAAGCAAAGCGCGCGAAAAGCTCATGACGTACTTTGTCTTTTCTCTTGAAACTGAGTTTTAGCTACGTATCCACTATTTCAACTTCATCCTTATTTAGTGAAAACGGATGCCTGAATTAAGACAACTGAAACAAACATTAAAAAGTATTGTTATTATTAATGTGTCTTAATTATGGCATTAAAATTCAATGTCATCCCTTGCTGTCCCTTCAGTAATTTGAAGTTTCTCCCCTGTTCCGGCCATAAAGTAATTCCACATGGTCCTCAAAAGTCAATTTTGCCAAGTTTCCAAAGCTTCCGGAACAGTAAAATCGTAATGGTGTTCGAGTCAAGCCAATGGTATTTGAACTATAAATTAAAGTTTAACACGCGAAAGAAACTCTTCACCAGACATATTGAAATGAGGCCTTGGTACACTCACAAACAAGTCGCAACTAACTGAGAAATTCGCCTCGTTAAGGGCCCGATTAGTAAAAGTATGCTGTTGGATCCTCTTTCAATTAAAGGTAGAGATTCAATGTTCCCCGGTTACCTGAAAAACTCAACAAATTCCCCTGTTGCCTAAAAGTTATTTCAAGATGTCACTTCTTCCATGAAAGTAAACAACTCGTGTTGCCTTATTCCGCCAGATCTCTGGGAGAGTGGCCCTCATATCATACTCAGTACATCAACTTAACTAAATACTTAAAAATACAAGCGGTATCAGAAAGCGTTCAAGCATAGATTTTGCGTTTAGTTTTAAATATATTTCTTAACTCTAGACTTTAATCCCGCCATTTATTGCCCAGCAAAGCAGGTGTTTGTATAAAAATATTGCTTGTTAACTGAGCCAGTTGGTAAAGGAAAATGGCCACGGCCGGAGATAGACTAGGCCAACTGACTTCCTAATACGGTGGCGATCTAGTTAGTTGATAAAACCAAACGTTTGTGTTTTACTTTCCCATCGATTCAACACCTCAGCTTCTCTAGAAACTATAAAGTTCCTCTTTAATAAATTCAGATCAGTCAGTTTGTATATACTTGCTCTCGCCAAGGGTTTCTGTTTAATTACCCTGGCACCCGGGTGGTCTCACTTTGTTGTATGGGAGGAAAAGCAAACCATTTTATCCATACAAATATCGCGTACGATAGTGTGTAATTAGAAATATGTAAAGGGAAAACCAAACGCCGTCATGTTACGTTTTTTTTTTTTCAAGGTCGGACGAGGCAAGAGGAAAAAAAAAACGCCTGATACATTTATTTAACATGCCGCCAGCCGCCTTCTAATTTAAATAAACCTGAACGTCAGCTCTACCTGTCAAGTTAATGGGCCAATCAGCATTTACCGGAAGTCAGCCGGTATGCGTACATTGGCGGGAATCTCGTTTCAACGAGGCGCGAAAAACGTCTGCCCTCACAAGGGAAAAGTAGCCTGAGATCATGCCCTCTCCCTATTATCCCTCTATGCCTCTCACGGGAAGAGAAAAGAAAATTACACGGCGATGTTCAGATGGCGCTCGCTAAAAAAGTAAAAAATGTTATCTTTGTGATGAAATTCTACTAGCTGGGGCTGTGCCGTTATGCAAGGCCACAAGAAATCGAGTGTTGACGGAAAAAAAATCGTCCACTGCCGGCAGTATCGTGTTGTCGGACTTACTCAGAAACGTTGGGATAGGTATTTGCAGTGCAGAGAGCGAAGAATCCAGATCAGCTTGCAAAAAATGTGCAAGAAAAATTTTCAATTGCTGCACGATGTTCCATGAACTTGAAAGTGCTGTAAAAGCCTGGATCGACGAGGGCAATTCGGAGTCTACGAAAGGTGGAGGCTCCATGGAAATTCCCCCAGCGGATCGACACCGAACTCCAAGAAAATAAAGGATATTCCACAACAAATACAAGAGCCAAGAGAACCTAAAGGTCGGTCAAGGATATTTTTATTTCAGCTCGAAGCCGATCGGAATGAGGGTGAAAATCTTGGAGGCGCTTTAGCGAATTTGATGTGTTCAGTGGTAACAACAACAAAGGACGAAACAGCGTCCAGGCCAGTCGTGAAGGTAAGTGGTTCTTTTTCCAGATAGATAAATTCTTAATTAAGCTTAATAACTGCAGGTACTTGAAATTAGCGTTTCTTTCAATGGAGGCAATAATTTCATTTTTTTGCTTCTGATACAGGTAAAGAAATATTCAACGAAAAGAAGCTTTACAAATTTGAACTGATATTGACAACTGTTTATCGATATTAGCCTGCGAGCAAGCTCTCCTATTTGAGCGAGTAAGGCGAGTCTCGCGAGAACGGGCGAGCGAGCGGCGAAGCCGCGAGGGGTCGGCCTCCTCGCTCGCGCGTTCTCGCGAGACCCACTTCGCTTACCCAAATAGGAGAGCTTGCTCGCAGGCTATATCGATATATACATAAGCTCTTACTAAGAATTGCCCGCACGTGTTCTACTTATTTTTGTTTATCAATTTTTGTCTTTATCTTCATCTTTCAGATATTTGTTGCATATTCCAGTTGTCGGGTCGCTTCACTCGCCCAAATAGGAGAGCTTGCTCGCAGGCTAGTGGTCTGGTGATAGAACACGAGTGTACAGGTGACGAAGAGCGTCTTGTAAAAAACTTAGGAATCAAAAACTACAAAGCCGCCGCAGTTGGCGTCACTAAATTTTCTCCACTGCACGATAAAGTGTTAGAAGAGATTGGAAAAGAAATAAAGAGAGAACTAAAGAACTACTCAAAAGATCCGACGAACACGTACAAGTACCGAGGGGAGTTAGAGAAGCTTGCTGATTTCCGAAATGACCATTTGATTAGAGAAATCAACCAAAAAGCACCCAACTTGCACTGCCTTGTTTCTTCGTCATTTCCAAGGAACGAAAAAGTAAAGAACGCGAAAAACAAGGAGGCAGTGATCTTTGCAAGCATTCTGAATCCATGGATTCCGAACTCTTATTTTACATTTAGAATTTACACCATTCTAGTGCTTGGAGGTTGTAAGAAGGAGGAGATGGACTGTTTTAACAAGCTAGGCCTCGCGAGCCATCTTAACACCGTGCGAAACATGCAGAAGAAAGTATGCTTCGCTTTCGACAGAGCTGCGACGAACTGGAAAGATGAGATAGTAACACGCGAGACGAAGATTCTTCTCCTAGAAGAAGTTCTCAACAGACACTCAGAAACAACCTCTAAAACTGACGATGGCATGGAAGTGTGCACGATTGATTTTTCTAGGGAGGCCGTGTATACATCTTGTAAAGAAATGCTGCCAGAGTCTGCCGTTGATCAGTTTGAAGACACGGATATAGCGTCTGCTGTAAATACTCTTAAAGGAAAACCTTTGCCAAAGTTCAGGTAACTTGTCGAACATAGCGATAGTTCTTATGGTTTCATTGATTTTTTGGTATTTTAGGCCACGCCCAAACAATGTTTTGTTATTCATCCATCCGTCTCAAACAAAAAAGTGGGTCCGTCGGTAGGGCAAACAAGAAAGAAAGATATAAAATGTCCGCATAAATTTTCGCGGGATGAATCTGTTTAAACTTTTAGGAAAGCTCGTTTTAAGAAAGAAATAATTCATAAACCGTAACTGCTTTAAAAAGCATTGCAAGAAAGGATGTACTCTTATTCTCCTGACGAGTTACCGGTATTTTCACATCATTTTTTCCTATTTCCAAAAAGATAGGTTGGTCGGGCGATGGCAAATGAAACATCTTCTGGGTACAGTGAAACAGACCGACATTTTCATTCAGCCTGAACAACATGAGTCAGGAGATAAATTTATTCTCACATTTTTACACTTTTGTATTTCTCTTTCTACTGGCTATTCTGTAGGAAAGCAGATAACTTGCAGAGAGGGCTTGAATGCAAGGTAGGAATGACCCTATTAGACTTAATTATGCTGCGTCAGTGAACAATAGTACACTCCTTATGTCGGACACCTTACATGCTCTGTTTCTTTTTGACACAACCCTCCCTGCCCTACAATGTTAGAGAGTTCTAAAATTAAACATAACTGTTTTAACTGAGAATAAATTTTATTATTAGCAAACTAATTCATTTTACTGGGCACTTATTTTGTTACAATTTATTCAACAAATTTTTTTCTGATATTTCTTTCTCATATCTTCATGTTCTCATGCAGGATTAATTAACGCCCAGCAATTTTACTCTCCACTAACTGAACGCCTTCAGCAGGCAGGGAGGGGTACGAATCCAAGGATTCAATTTAATTATGACAAAAGCCTTCTAATCCTTGCTAGAGTTTTCTACAAGACTTTTGTTAAGAAATATGCAAATGACAATTTGTATTGAACATACACTCAGCAATTTAAAATTATTGAATATGGTGGACCTGGGGTACTTACCATTTATATGCGAAAACCGGAAATTTTCTCTCTCTCTCTCTCTTTGTACTCTGTTAGATTCTGAGGCTTTCTGGTCATTTTTCTATTTTTGGTTTGGTTTTCTATGTGCTCAAGTCTCTTATGGGAATTGTGAGAGAACAGAGACGTGAAAAATTTGCAATTTTGATCCTAAAGTCTCGGAGTCACGTTAGAATTTTAATATATCGAAAGTGGGCTATCGTGTACTTTTTCTTAGCCTGTTCCAGGCTCCAAGATAGTGTTGCACAGCGGTCGTGAATGGCAAAACACACGGGGACTGGGGAGAGAGCACACTTTCCCAGGGGGTCTTGGTTTTGCTTTGTTTTCGCGTAGTTATGTTTTTTTGTGACGTCTCTGCTATTTGAGAGCCTGGCACAGGCTAAGTTTTCCTAACTGAGGCCCAAGAAGACCAAATTCAGTGTCACGAGCTTAAACTATAGCTCGCTGACGATTTTAATAATTTTTCAGGTCTTCAGACAAATAATACTTTTAAGAAATACTAGCTTGCTATAATGCGCCAGGTGAGGCTTGCTCATAGACGGCCGAATTTAATGATTTTTCATGTCTTAAAATGTTGTCGGTGCAGTTCAACCTTGATGTATTTCTTCAAACATTGTGCAGTAATGTGGCATAAACTTTCCAGTAACACAAGCTGTTAACAAGCTTGAGCCATCGCTATCTTCCTAGCAGAACGTAATATATTTGTGTTATTAACTTACTTGTGGTCAGATGGCTGGAAAGGAATTAAGTTTTTGGGGTCTGTTATGAGAGGCAAAACGCACGAAAACCTCATAATGACATCTCGTTTAGTTAACGTAAATTTGGACGATCTATACCTCTGAAATTGTCGTGAAACTAATTATTATCTGCTATTTCAACATCATATTGCTATTAATCGTGCGCTGCCAGCTTTGACTGCCTTCCGCAAAGAGACCAGCTGTAAAATATATAATATACATAGTGCGATTGTGGAACTTTTTTGCAAAATATTATGTGGTCGTGTGGATCAATTTGCTTTCACGTGGGTAAACGTTTTGGTGAAACTGAAACAGACACCTTCTAATTAGTGCTCGAATCTTCTCTACACCTTATTTTGTGCAAAATGCAAACTAAGATTAAATATTCAATGCCTACTGCCTACAGTAACCCTCGCCATTTTATGTACCCCAAATACGTGTATCATTCAGAACCGTGCGAAGGTCTTAATTATGAGGAGACCACAGGACAAAGTAGATGCTCCTGCCAATATAAGCACTGTTATTTATGTTAACATACGCTAAATGTTCAGAATTCAAGAGTATATTTGCTTGCAACGTGGATACGTTTTCAATATCTTTGTTTTCGTTTTTGTTACTTATTCTGAGCTTCCACCTATAAAGAACTGATGTAGGTTTTGTTCGTGTGGTCTACGTGTCACGTGAATTTAGTATTGGGATAGCTATCGAGGCTCTTTTCTCGTTGCTGTTTGACGAGGTATAATAATGTCTCCCCAACCCGGTTTCATTTTTTACGACTTAACAATGATTTCCACGGCTAAGAGAGTAATTGTACGTCATATAGCTTTTAAACCGAACTTTTAAAAGACTGGGCGTCTTTTTTTTTTTTCGGAAAAACAGTTGATTAAAAAGAACTACAGTAAGTATCGTGGGGTGCCTTCGAGCAACTCAACTCGCTAATCGATGAGGTACTGAGAGTATACTTCTTACATCTTGATCTTTATTCTTCTTATATCGTCTCCTACTTCAATCTTCTTCTCTAGCAATTCAAATGGGAACGGTTTTTATGGCCAAAGCTGGACATGTTTGGGTTAGCTGACCGTGGGAATAAAAACAAGTTAAACTCGGTATGGGTAAGGTTTTGGTATTACTGAACCTACATGGTTGCGATCGTCACAACCTAATGAAAAGCTAAAACGCTGGTGAAAAAACCGAAATAGAAACTTTAACGGGACTTAAGAACCAAGGTCAGCACTAACATCTCAAACACTACCATTTGTGAAAAACTAACATTTGACAATGGCAAGCGAAGAGTATTCCTAACATGGCATTAAGCAAATTGGCGAGCTCAGAAAAAATTCAAGTACAAGTAGAAACAAAAGGTCAAAACAGAAAAAACACCTAATTATGTGGACAAAATCAAGACTAACCTCGAAACTGGGAAAATCACGTTCAAAATACTTCACAAATGTATTAAATGTAGTTACAATAGTTAAACGGCAATTTTCGCCAGAATTTTGATAGTATACAGCGGAAAAGCATAGTACACTAACTCGAACAACGGAACATTTGCCTTAATGTTTCTTTTACAGCTTGCCTCACTTCTCTGATCTTCCAACAGTACAACAAAGGGTTTAATGATGAGTTTAAGTAAACCATGCTTACTGTGAAATTCAAGGCAAGGTAAATGGATAAAGTCATCCCTCTCTGAAGTTGCAAAGCTGCTACTATACCATACGGCAGATAACAAATAATCAATGTTCCCTGCACCCACAGTGCACTGTGCACCGCCTTTCTGTATCGAGCTAAGTTCAGTGCGGGAATTGCTTGGCTCGGTTGTCCTTGAACAACATGGTTCTGAACATGTATTTGATTATGACGTAGAGTATAGGAGACTTTTGTGTAAGCAAAGATTGTCGTGACTAGACACAGAGCTGCAATTATGTATTGACACCAAAGAAGTATATGAGGATTCCAAACAAAAGTAGATGGACCAATGAGGGACAAAATCCAAAAACCAAAAACAATTATACATGTTCTTCTCAAAGTTACAACTTGTCTGTATCTGAGCCCCAGCAACAAGGCGAGAAGTCTGTCCACACTTATTGCAGCAGATGTTAGTAAAGACACTGAACACAAAGTATAACCTGAGAAACCTGCTGCCAAAGTTGCGAGATAACAAATATCCCATCTTTCTTTCACGACAGAAGTCCAATAAGTTACTTTCAAAGGCTCCACAATGATACCAACACAGAGATCAGTTATCGCTAGGTTACGATACAGGAGTTTGGACGGCGGATGAAGTGAAGTTTCCTTGTGTAGGGCAACTAGGATCAGAGTGTTCCCCAGAAATGCAGTAATGGAAAGAAAAATATTTAGCGCTGATACAAAGATAAGCTCGCCATCTACACCGCTGAGAAATTCCGCCGAACAGGATAGTTCTTCGAGTGTTTTGCTGTCGTCTTCAGTAATATTTCTTAGCGCCATTTGGCTGCGATGCAATGATATGCAGGTGCCTGTACTGTTTAACGTATCATTTCCTTTTGTATGGGTGGAAGTGTGTCATTCTATCTTTTAAATTAACTAATTAATTAACCAAGCGCGTGGTAATTTCTCAGCGAAGAAGTTACTCTTTAATTTGGCGCAAAATTTCAGCGTTTATTCATTTCAGCTATGGCAGCGTTTTGTGTATCTAAGTGCCCGAGATGGCGTCCAAGTTAAGGGATGTCAAGATGAGATGTCGTGAATGAAGATATCAGCGAAATAAGAGACGCACTCTCAAGTTTAAACACACGAAAGAGCACAGTGTTTAGATGGCATAAAAACTATTAGAATTTTGACATGGAATTGAATTTAAAATTATTCATCGTGATTTGATTACACTGACTAGTCTTCTTTTTTTTATAATTATCATGTTCAACAAAAAGAAAACAGCAATGTTATATTTGTTCTTTTATGATTCACACCTTTTCTTTTCCTTTTTTATTCAACAACCTTTATTTAACGTACAACCCTCTTGAATATTCAACAAACTGAAAGTCCGGGGAGGGCTTGATAACACAGCAGGGAAGAGCGGGGATAGTGAATTGAATTCATAACTATTAATTAGGAATTTATCTGTATAAATCCCTCAATTTATACAAACAAACCCAAGACGAAAAAAAATTATGGAAATTAATTCTCATAAAAGTTGTCGTTGCAATTAATTGCAATTCAACTTTGCTGTTTCTGACGACATAAAATTCCTCCTCTAGACAAATTTAAGGTGGCTCAATACAGTTTTTCATGGTCTATACCTCCCACGTTTGAGCATCGCCATACATCGCCATACATCGCCATAAACAGAGATTTGGAATAATTACCACCACAATTGTATTAGATAAAGATGAAAATTGTTATGATCAGGGTTGCAATGACATCGGAGTTCTCATAGCAACGAAATGACGCCATTACCTATTTCACTTGCAGCAGTATTTCTCGGCACTGGGAACTGTTCTTCCAAAATCGTTCACAAAAACGTTTTCCCAAAAATAGCTGCCTCGATGTTCGTGAAGTTTATTAGCGGCATCTGTAAGAGCGTTATCGAGATATGTCGGGATGAAGTTTTTATGGTTAAAAAAAGAAAACGGTCAAAAATGGACAATCTTGATGTTCAGCTGTTTTCTTTAGAAAACGAAGCGTCTTGACATGCAATTTCACCTCATAGTAGTTTCAATCTTTTTAAAAACGTGTGTGAGACTTATGGAGATAGCCGATAGCCAGCCGATTGCTAGAAAGAAGGATTTGCGGTTTTGCAAACATTTCGGTCTGCTTTAGCAAATAAGCCAATAAGTTTTGAACCACTCGATAGATTTTTTAAAAATTTAAGAGACTTGAGATTAACCTTCCTCTTATATGACCTTTTAGTTTCAAGGTTATTGATATATTGTAAGGCAGTAAAATAAGGGCTACAATTCGCTAATATTTTGTCAGAAATTTTGTGTTTACAAGCGAAAGCCTCTTATTATTCAGGGTATTGTCTCCAAGTTTCATATTTTCGTGAGCAACAATAGCTAGCATTTTTGCATATTTCAAATGTATTGTTAGTCACTGCTGGTAACGTGAAAATAAAACTTGGAGACAATATCCTTGAATAATGAGAGGATTTTCCTTGTAAAGACGAAACTTCCGATGAAATAATTAGGGAATAATTGTAGCCCTTATTTTTCACGACCACCTATGAAAAACAAACATCTGACAATGGCAAGCGAAGAATATTGCTAAAATGGCATTAAGCAAATCCGCGAGCTAAGCAAAAATTCAAGTACAAGTAAATGCAAAAGTCAGACAAGAAATACACATATGTGGACAAAATCAAGACTTACCTCGACCCAAAAGAAACTTTGACAATAGCTTTCAAAATACTTCCCCAAGTGTAGTTAGTTAAACGGCAATTTTCGTATGAATTTTTAATTAACATTATACAGCGCTGAAAAGCATACTACACTACTGACTCGAACAACAGAATATTTGCCTTAATGTTTCTTTAACCGCTTGCCTCACTTCTCTAATCTTCCAACAGTACAGCAAAGGGTTTAATGACGAGTTTAAGAACACTAGTGTAGACATAAAATGCCATGCAAGGTAAACAGATAAGGAAAAGCCCCTTTGAGTTGTCAAAGCGTACGTGTTCACGATGTTAAGCGGCAGATAACAAACAACCAATGTTCCCTGCACCCACAGTGCACTGTACACTGCCTTTCTGTATCGAGTTATGTTCAGTGGAATTTCTTGGTTAGGTTGTCGAGGAGCAAAATGGTTCTGAACATGTATTTGGTTATGACGCAGAGTACAGAAAATTTTTGTGTAAGCGAAGGTTGTGGTGACTAAACACAAAGCTATACCTATGTAATTATACGAAAGAAGTATAAGAATATTCCAAAGTGTCAAAGTAGATGAAACAACGATGGACAAAAACCAGAAACCAAAAGCGATTATACATGTTCTTCTCAAAGTTACAACTTGTCTGTATCTGAGCCCCAGCAACAAGGCGAGAAGTCTGTCCACACTTATTGCAGTCGAAGTTAATAAAGACACTCCACACAAAGTAGAAGCGAAGAAACCCATTGCCAAAATTGTGTAATGGCAAATATTCCATCTTTTGTTGACAACAGAAATCCAGTAAGCCACAGCCAAAGGCTCCGCAGTGATACCAACACAGAGATCAGCTATCGCTAGATTACGATACAACAGTTTGGACGACGTATGAAGTGATGTTTCCTTGTGTAGGGCAACTAGGATCAGAGTGTTCCCCAGAAATGCAGTGATGGAAAGAAAAATATTTAGCGCTGATAAAAAGATAAGTTCGCCATCTACACCTCTGAGAAATTCCGCCGTACAGAATAGTTCTTCGAGTGTTTTGCTATCGTCTTCAGTAAAATTTTTTAGCGCCATTTGGCTGCGATGCAACAATATGCAGGTGCCTGTACTGTTTAACGTATCATTTCTTTTTATATGGGTGGAAGTGTGTCATTCTATCTTTTAAATTAACTAATTAATTAACCAAGCGCGTGGTAATTTCTCAGCGAACAAGTTACTCTTTAATTTGGCTCAAAATTTCAGCGTTTATTCAATTCAGCTATGGCAGCGTTTTGTATATCTAAGTGCCCGAGATGGCGTCCAAGTTAAGGGATGTCAAGGTGAGATGTCGTGAATGAAGATATCAGCGAAATAAGAGACGCACTCTCAAGTTTAAACACACGAAAGAGCACAGTGTTTAGATGGCATAAAAACTATGAGAATTTTGACATGGAATTGAATTTAAAATTATTCATCGTGATTTGATTACACTGACTAGTCTTCTTTTTTTTATAATTATCATGTTCAACAAGAACAAAAGAGCAATGTTATATTTGTTCTTCTTTTATGATTCACACCTTTTCTTTTCTTTTTTTATTCAACAACCTTTATTTAACGTACAACCCTCTTGAATATTCAACAAACTGAAAGTCCGGGGAGGGCTTGATAACACAGCAGGGAAGAGCGGAGATGGTGAATTGAATTCATAACTATTAATTAGGAATTTAACCGTATAAATCCCTCAATTTATACAAACAAACCCAAAACGAAAAAGAAATTAATGGAAATTAATTCTCATAAAAGTTCTCGTTGCAATGAATTGCAATTCAACTTTGCTCTTTCTGAAGACATAAAATTCCTCCTCTAGACAAATTTAAGGTGGCTCGATACAGTTTTTCATGGACAATACCTCCAAAGTTTAGGCATCGCCATACATCGCCATAAACAGAGATTTGGAATAATTGCCACCATAATTGTATGAGATAAAGATGAAATTTTGTTATGATCAGGGTTGGAATGACATCGTAGTTGTCATAGCAACGAAATGACGCCATTACCTATTTCACTTGCAGCAGTATTTCTCGGCACTAGGAACTGTTCGTCCAAAATCGTTCACGAGAGCTTTTTCCTCCAATAGCTGCCTCGTGTTCGTGAGGTTTATTAGCGGCATCTGTAAGAGCGTTATCGAGATATGTCAGGATGAAGTTTTTATGGTTAAAAAAAAACGGTAAAAAATGGACAATATTGATGTTCAGCTGTTTTCTTTAGAGGTGGTGAAATGGGGAGGAGGCGGGAAAAAATTTTTTTGGGGATCTGTTCAATCTGATGGCGAGAGGAGGAAGGAAAAATATCTCGCTGGATCTGTCTTTCATATACTAGGCCTGTGACCTACTTAAACCTGATTGGCCAAACTAATGCTAGTATATATCGAATCCGTGCCTGGTACAAGCCAACCCCAGCGGAATATCACGTGCGTACCACGCCTCGATATAAATTACATTATGTCGCGCCATAATGTTCGGTTTTATAGCGAGCCGTGTTTTCATGTAAAATATGATCTAAAGTGACCCACTTAAAAGGGGCGAGCTTTGTTGAGAAACCACTTCAGAGCTAATGCCCCGGAAGTAGCAATAAGAAACCACTTTGTTGGAATAAATTTGGCCACGATTGTGGCTAGTTTTAACCGAACAATTAGCAAAATTCATACACAGCAGTAAACATTTTCGTATATGATGTCTTTGTTCACAAATGGGGCGACAAAATACCGCCAAAAGCCACACTTTGTGGCCGAATATTTTTGTGAGCAACATTAGCTAACATTTTTGCATATTTCAAATGTATTGTTAGTCACTGCTGTTAACGTGAAAATAAAACTTGGAGACAATATCCTTGAATAATGAGAGGATTTCACTTGTAAAGACGAAACTTCCGATAAAATAATTAGGGAATAATTGTAGCCCTTATTTTTCACGACCACCTATGAAAAACAAACATCTGACAATGGCAAGCGAAGAATATTGCTAAAATGGCATTAAGCAAATCCGCGAGCTAAGCAAAAATTCAAGTACAAGTAAAAGCAAAAGTCAGACAAGAAATACACATATGCGGACAAAATCAAGACTTACCTCGACCCAAATTAAACTTTGAAAATAGCTTTCAAAAATACTTCCCCAAATGTAGTTAGTTAAAAGGCAATTTTCGCATGAATTTTTAATTAACATTATACAACGCAGAAAAGCATTCTACACTACTGACTCGAACAACAGAATATTTGCCTTACCGTTTCTTTAACCGCTTGCCTCACTTCTCTAATCTTCCAACAGTACAACAAAGGGTTTAATGACGAGTTTAAGAACATTAGTGTAGACGTAAATTGCCATGCAAGGTAAACAGATAAGGAAAAGCCTCTTTGAGTTGTCAAAGCGTACGCGTACACGATGTTAAGCGGCAGATAACAAACAACCAATGTTCCCTGCACCCACAGTGCACTGTACACTGCCTTTCTGTATCGAGCTATGTTCAGTGGAATTTCTTGGTTAGGTTGTCGAGAGGCAAAATGGTTCTGAACATGTATTTGATTATGACGCAGAGTACAGAAAATTTTTGTGTAAGCGAAGGCTGTGGTGACTAAACACAAAGCTATACCTATGTAATTATACGAAAGAAGTATAAGAATATTCCAAAGTGTCAAAGTAGATGAAACAACGATGGACAAAAACCAGAAACCAAAAGCGATTATACATGTTCTTCTCAAAGTTACAACTTGTCTGTATCTGAGCCCCAGCAACAAGGCGAGAAGTCTGTCCAGACTTATTGCAGTCGAAGTTAATAAAGACACTGCACACAAAGTAGAAGCCCAGAAACCCATTGTCAAACTTGTGTAGGGCAACTAGGATTAGAGTGTTCCCCAAAAATGCAGGAATGGAAAGAAAAATATTTAGAGCTGAAATGAAAAGAAGCTCGCCATCTACACCTATGATAAATTCCGCGGAGCACCACAGTTCTATGAATGTTTTCTGGTTTTCATCGTCAGTAAAGTTTGTCTGTGCCATAGTACTTCTCTGAGGCGCGATGAGAGGCAAGTGAAGGCTTTATTTATTCATCGCTTAATTTATTCGGGTGGAAAGTTATATGATTCGCACAATGGTGTTTATCACTAATAACCAAAGGCTCCGTGATACACGGGAACTCTTCGTCGGGTCAGACGGTGCGGGAGGGGGGGGGGGGGTGGGGGATCGCCGGTTCAGAAAGCTAACCTAGATCAATGATGTAGCCTTTATATGCCAGGCTCAGGTCAAACTAACTCGACTCGACGTTTTAATGACATTTTATGTTACCTGTTTCCATTACAAGCTTGACGTTCAGCAATTTACATTGTATTAATTTGATGAGAGAACACAAGCTGCGAAGTTTGCAAGCTTGAGCAATCACGATTTTCTCAGGCAAGCGTTTATGCGTTAATAACCAACTTGACGTCAGATGGCTGTAAAAGGGTATAATCAGTGATAGCAACAACAGTTTTAATTTTCGTTTTTGTAATGGCCGGGAGGCAAAAAGTAAAAAACTTCGTAAGTGCTTAAAACCATACTGGAAAGAAACCTCGGCTAGTAGTAGGGTACATTAACTGCCATTTCACTGCCCTGTAACTACTCGCAAGTACGCGCTTTACAAATTACTAACATCAGTATTTGCCCACAGTATCTATATTGTGTAAACTAATTATCTAAGCGCATGGTAACTTCATTCTTAGTTCTTCCTGTTTTCCTGAGATATTGCACTGTTAACCAAAAGCAAAGCAGGTGATGTCTTTGTTTGGTTTTAACTTAAAGCTTCAAATAGACAGAAATCAACCTTAATTAGGTTGGATTATGACATGCACGTGTATTGAACTTGTATCAGTTGTTTCCTCGCGCTACTTTTAAGACCGAGGGAGTCTAATCAATCCGTCCAGACATCTTAAATTTCCTGAGCGCAATTTTCGGCTTTATTACAAGCGAATAACTAGGTGAACACTCTATAGACAAAATCCAAAACCCAAATGCAGTTATGCATGTTCTTTTGAAGGTTACAATTTGTCTGTATCTGAGCCCTAGCAACAAGGCGAGAAGTCTGTCCACGCTTATTGCAGTCAATGTTAATACAGACACTAAACATAAGGTATAACCTAAAAGATTTTCTGCCAAATAAGCATAATAGCAAATATCCCTTCTTTCTTTCACAACAGAAGTCCAATAAGTCACAGCCGCTGGCTCCACAATGATACCAACACAGAGATCAGTTATCGCCAGGTTACGATACAAGAGTTTGGACGGCGCATGAAGAGACGTTTCCTTGTGTAGGGCAACTATAGGCTCAGAGTTTTCCCCAGAAATTCACTAAAGGAAAGAAAAATATTTAGCGCTGAAAGGAAAATAGCTCGCAATCTACACCTCTGAAGAATTCCGCCGAACAGGATAGTTCTTCGACTGTTTTGCTGTAATTTTCAGTAAAATTTTTTAGCGCCATTTGGCTGCGATGCAACGATATGCAGGTGCCAACATATCGCTTTCTTTTATACGGGTGGGAGTGTGTCATTGTATCTTTTAAATTACCTAATTAACTAAGGCTAGGTGCATGGTTATATCTCGGGTACGAGTTACTCCTTAATTTGGCGCGAAATTTCGGGGTTTATACTACTTCATGTGAAATTTCTTTTATTTGATTGGCTAAGAGCAGTGGTATTTCAGCTTAATTTGAAATACCTACATGTAAAAATTACAAAACCTTTGCGGGTAGTATTACAAACAAATAATAGCATGATTTGTACGTGATATTTTGCATAAATATCACTAACGGCTCGTGAAATTACGTATAACAAGTTTGAAATATCACTCGTGGTATTTATGCCAAATATCACTACAAATCATGCTATTACCTATACTAATTCATAAATTCAGCTATGGCAGCTTTTGTACTCTGAATGCCCGAGATGGCGTCCAAGTTTAATGATGTCTAGGTGAGATGTTATGAATGAAGACATCAGGGGAATAAAAGGCCATGTTACAAGTCCTAACACACTAAAGAGCACAACATGTCTAGATGGTAGCGAAACCATTAAAATTTTGACCTGGAATTGAATTATTCGTTACCATTTGATTACACAAACTAGTCTTCTTGTTTATATAATTATCATGAACCTGTTCAACAAAAACAAAAATGCCGAGATGTATTTGTTTTGAAAAGCTGAAGAAAGACATAAAATAGTTTAAGGTCGAGCACAAATTGTTTATTTTTTTTTAAGCCTCTTCCAGGCTCCAAGATAGTGTTGCACAGCCGTCGTGAATAGCAAAACACGCGGGGACTGGGGAGAAAGCACACTTTCTCAGATCAAGAGCGTCTTATTTTCGCTTTATTTTCGCATAGTTATGGTTTTTGCGACGTCTCTACTATTTGAGAGCCTGGCACAGACTATAAATTTTCCTAACTGACGCCCAAGTAGACCAAATACAGTGTCGCGAGCTTGAACTATATATAGCTCACTGACTATTTTTATACTGAACTTTTTAGGTCTTTCGTTGCTCCTTGATAGCCTTTTCGTACGTATAATGTCACTGACAGAAGTAATCTGGCAGAAAACTCAACTAATTGATATCCGTTTTAAGTTTAAAAGATTGAGATACTTTTAAGAGAAAAGAAAAAGAGAAAATTCAGACAAATTATGCTTTTAAGAAATACTAGCTTGCTATGATGAGCCAGGTGAAACTTGTTCATACACGGCCGAGTTTAATGATTTTTCACATCTAAAAATGTTGTCGGTGCAGTTCAATCTTGATGTATTTCTTCATTAACTGAACATTCTGCAGTAATTTGGCATAAACTTTCCCGTAACACAAGCTGTTGACAAGCTTGAGCCATCGATATCTTCCTAGCAGAACGTAATATATAGTTGTGTTATTAACTTACTTGAGGTCAGATGGCTGGAAAGGAATTTAATTTTTTGGTTTGTTATGGGAGACAAAACGCGCGAAAACCTCATAATGACATCTCGTTTAGTTAACGTACATTTGGGCGATCTATACCTCTTAAATTGTCGTGAAACTATTTAGTATCCGCTATTTGTTATATAGATACTGATGAAATACCAGGATTTTTCCTTTTACTAAAAAATCATATCTTATCGCGCGCAGCAAAGATGCTATTTTTATCTTTCACGTGTAAGGATATTGGTGTCGCCATGGTTACTAACATTAATTTTGACTTTTTGGAACAGAAAATCATAAGTATTATTGTCTTTATTTCTTCTTTATAGCTTTATATCCGAGTTTCATAAAATTTTTGTAACAGGCATTTTGCGATAGGTGACCACTTTAATTGCACTATTTTGCTGTTTCGAAAATGAATAAAAAAAATTGTGTTTTATGTAAAAATTTCATCAGCATCTATAAAATAAACAGAACGTTACCTGGCCGCTTGGGGATTCCAATTTTACCTTCTCGTGCTGAAAGTATCTCTTTCAGCACTCGCAGATAAAATTCGTATCCCCGCGCTGCCATGTAATATCCTCTATTTCAACTTCATATTGCTTTTAATCGTGCGCTGCCAGCTTTAAGTGCCTTCCGCAAAGAGACCAGTTGTAAAATATATAATATACATAGTGCGATTGTTGAACTTTTTTGCAAAATATTGTGTGGTCGTGTGCATTAATTTTCTTTCATGTGAGTAAACGTTTTGGTGAAACTGAAACAGACACCTTCTAATTAGTGCTCGAATCTTCTCTACACCCTATTTTGTGCAAAATGCAAACTAAGATTAAATATTCAATGCCTACTGCCTGCAGTAACCCTCGCTATTTTATGCACCCCAAATACGTGTATCATGCAGAACCGAGCAAAGCTCTTAATTATGAGGAGACCACAGGACAAAAAGTAGATGCTCTTGCCAATATAAGCACTGTTATTTATATTAACGTATGCTAAATGTTCAGAATTCAAGCGTATAGTTGCTTGCAACGTGGATGCGTTTCCAATATCTTTATTTTCGTCTTTGTTACTTATTCTGAGCTGATAAAAAGATAAGCTCGCCATCTAGATCTACACCTCTGAGAAATTCCGCCGGACAGGATAGTTCTTCGAGTGTTTTGCTGTCGTCTTCAGTAAAATTTCTTAGCGCCATATGCATTTGGCTGCGATGCAACGATATGCAGCTGCCTGTACTGTTTAATGTATCATTTCCTTTTATATGGGTGGAAGTGTGTCAAATTTGTCTACTGACTGCCATTTCACTGCCCTGAAACTACTCGCAAGTACGCACTTTAAAAATTACTAACATCAGTATTTCCCCACAGCATCTATATTGTGTAAACTAATTATCTAAGCGCATGGTAACTTCATTCTTAGTTCTTCCTTTTTTTCTGAGATATTGCACTGTTAAGCAAAAGCAAAGCAGGTGATGTCTTTGTTTGGTTATAACTTAGAGCTTCAAATAGACAGAAATCAACCTTCATTAGGTTGGATTATGACATGCACGTGTATTGATCTTGTATCAGTTGTTTCCTCGCGCTACTTTTAAGACCGAGGGAGTCTAATCAATCCGCTCAGACATGTTAAATTGCCTGAGCGCAATTTTCGGCTTTGTTATAAGCGAATAACTAGATGAACCCACCATAGACAAAATCCCAAACCCAAATGCATTTATACACGTTCTTTTCAAGGTTACGACTTGTCTGTATTCATTATATAGATACTGATGAAACACCAGGATTTTTCCTTTTACTAAAAAATCCTATCTTCATCGCGCGCAGTAAAGATGCTATTTTTATCTTTCACGTGTAAGGATATTGGTGTCGCCATGGTTACTAACATTAATTTCGACTTTTTGGAACAGAAAATC